AACATAACACGATTGTGCACTTTTTACTTTTAATATTTGAGCAAATGCAACAAAGATTGTGCAAAACAAATATTTTGTTTTTTTGGAATAAATTAACAATAATAATTGTCCTATAATATCTTTAATGATTTACTTACTATATTAAAACTTAGTATAATATAATATACAAATAATACGCAATACAAATTCAAAAAATTTCCCAACATTAACAATAACGTTAAGTCAAAAATAAACATAAAATAATACATAAAGTCAAAAATAAATAATTATAATATTATGAAACATCACAATTATTACGCGTTAAAAAAAGGAATAATCTTCGGTATTCGTCTACAAAAATAAAGAAATAAGATTTACTCATAATGATATTAAAAATAATAATAATTTAATAAGGTATACCTAGTAGGAAACAAAAAAAAAAATTATAAGTTCATAAATGAAATAAAAAATATCATTCAAATTTCCCAATATTGATAATAAGTAATAACGTAATACATTTAGTCAAAAATAAATAATTATAATATAATACATCACAATTACCTCCGGATAAACGCATAAAAAAAAAAATAGAAAATATAACACAAATCAACTTTTTATAACTTTTTAGCACAAAAACGTGGTCCTAATGTCAGTAAATAATCATTTACTGATATCTCATTATTTTTATATTTTTTCCACGTATTAATTAGAAATATAATATTTTCTTCTTGTTCTTTACGAGGCTTGTTAATATTTTGTTGTTTTATACAATATATTTTTAAATAAGATTCACTTTGAATATCTAATAAAATATGTATAACTTGGTAAATAGATGGGTGAGATTTATAAAACTGAGCATTATAGTGGCTATGGAAAGATTCTGGCCCATTGGTCGTTCTTGCCTCTGTTGAAGGTTCAGTTGCCCATAAAATCGGTGGAAAAGCGGAATCAGATGATATGTAATTGTTCAGTATAAAATCGGCAAATTCAAAATTATCAGCAGGGCTATTTTCAATTAAATAAGCAAAACCTTCTTCTACATCTTCTGAGGGTAAAAATGCAAGTGCAAAAAATTGTTTCAACCAAATACCTAGTTCAGATTTTGAATTATAGTTTTTTAATAAATTATTGTCACTTTGAATTTTCCTGAACCAAGATTGGGCTAAATGAAATCTGCAGGTCATAATTTTGCAGTTTGGGAAAAAATATCTAATAGCATTGTGAGCACTTTTTTCAAAATGAAAATGAAAATTTGAATGATTTAATGAACTTTTCAAATCTATGTCAACCAATTTCAAACATAAATTAATAATTGCGTTCCACATTTGTACATAAGTTTCAGTTGATTTTAAAGTTAAAAAACAGTAAACTATAGGAACCTGGAACATAATAACCATTTTGTAATATATGTATTGTATACAATTGCTCAAAATATTTGGGTGCATATGAAAATGTTCCGTCTGCAAAAATATGGGATGATTGACTTAATAGTTCAAGATTAGTCTTGCAAGTGAATATAACTAGGCTTGAAGTTTCTTCCATGTGACATAATAGTCAAATATAAAATGGTAAAAAGTGCGCAATCGTGTTATGTTTTCTCAAATATAAAAAGGTAAAAAGTGCGCAATCGTGTTGTGTTTTTTTCAGGTAAAAAGGTAAAAAGTGCGCAATCGTGTTACGCCCCAGCGCTATACGCCACTTTTCAAACGATGCTGTCAAAAGTGTAGTGCGTGAGTGTATCTCTAATATCACAGGCCGTGAACGACGATATTGTTGTTCCTTCTTATACGATATAGTTATAAATTTTTTTTTTTAGTCTTTTCAAAATATATTTCCAAAAAAAGTTTACAAGTAGCAGATAGCTTAACGCAATCAATACTGACATGCGTTGTACCGCAGTTGTACTTACCAACGCTTCAATAGACATTTAAGTAGGTAGGTATTCGGAATGGATATGATTTTGAGGCAATATTAAGTTATTTATTTTAATATTATATTTTATCACATTTATTTACCAATATCTGAAGTCGAGTTTAATAGGAAGGTTAATTCATATTATAGCAAAAGTGCAAAACATAAATTATGGTATAGATAGGTCTTATAAATCATATCAAATATAAATTCAAAATCTCAATTAATGAGACCATAATGGCTCGATGTAATATGAAACACTGATTTATAGTGCAATATAGTAAATGCATAAATTCGAAATTTTACAAATCGTGATTTAAAATTATTCAATAATATTATAATTATTAATTCCTATGTTTTGCACAGTTCACTTGCAACCACAAATTAAGATGGTACCATATAGCAGTGGTTTTCAACCTGGGGGTCGCGAATGATAGGTTTGGGGGTCGCCAAAAATAATAGATGAAATGATTTTTCCATTTTATTTAAAAATAAAATAAAGTTAATTTTTAATTTTGTTTTATATAGACTATTTACTCATTGTATGATTCATAAGGAAGCTTTAGTATCTAAAAAACTTGAACCATTTGTCAACGAAGTACTACAAGATGCTATACGTGTAATTAACTTTATAAAATCAAAATCATTAAATTCTAGATTATTTACGATACTATGTAATGAAATGGGATCTGATCATATCTGTCCCGTGGTAAAATATTATTAAGAATTGTTGAGCTTAAAGATGAAATACGAATATTTCTCCTTAAAAATACACTCGCAGAACACTTCTTAAATGAAGAATGGTTAGCAATTTTAAGTTACCTTGCCGATATTTTTGAAAAATTAAACAATTTAAATTTAAGTCTTCAAGGTAAAAATACAAATATATTAATTCTCTCCGATAAAATCGATGCTTTCAAAAAAAAAATAAGTTTATGGATAAATTATATTAATAATGTAAACTTCGAAATGTTTTCATGTTTTTCAGAATTTATTGCTGACAATGAAATATTTGATATTAAAAAATAAAAGACATAATATTACTTCATCTCGAAAATTTGAAAAACCATTTTAACACACGGTTTGAAAAGTTTCCAGAAAAAAAGTTGGGATGGATAAGAAATCCATTTTCTATTAGTATAAATGAAATTAATTCTGAATTAAGTTTAGTTATGAACGAGGAATTAATTGAGTTATCTGCCGATGAAAATCTGCGTATAAAATTTAATGAAACTACAAGTGATAAATTTTGGATTTCTATAAAATCAGAATACCCAGAATTGTCAAAAGTAGCTGTATCAACACTTCTGCCATTTGCAACCACTTACCTTTGGGAAACGGCGTTTTCAGCTCTTACAGTTATAAAAAAGTGTGTGTGTTATCAGTGCGCGCGAGGGAAGTTAAACTTCTTTTGAATGGTACACGTGAGTGAGTGAAAAAGAAAGAAAGGCATGGATAGACTGGGTAATAAGGATATATAATAAAGAAATAAAAGAAACAATGTAAATTATATTTTTTATATTTTTTTTTTTAATTATTATTTTTTATGCTAATGATTGATTATCATTTTGCTCAATCGGTATAGTAGTTATGATTGGCATATGATAACTGAAATACGAAACGTACATTTGTGACTGAACATTATCCATATATCGCGTAAAAATTGCATCGATTGTTGTGCCTGATTTAGTAGTCGATATTGTTGGATCATTATTCAGTTGCAATAATATATAATATAATATATAAATTATAATATATAATATAACAACACTACCATGACAACATTTATTTATTTACGGACATGTACGCTTTCGCGTTCGTACGGCCGCCCGTTCGTACACGCCGCCCGTTCGTAAGCGCCGCCCGTTCGCTTTTTTTTTTCCTCACTACCCTGCGTAAAGAAGTATAACTTCAAAAACAAATATCGGACAAAATTAAACTTAGAATCAGATCTAAGAGTTGCAGTCTCTAATATAAAACCTAATATGGAAACAATCATTTCAAAAGCTCAAGCTCAAGTATCCCATTAACAACAGTTTATGTATTATGTATTTTTTTTATATTTAAATTTATTGTATATTATGCTTGTATTGTTTTAAAATAATGTTGTATTATGAATTAATTACATTTTTAAGTGTAAATTAATCAAAATCGTATAACAAATAAATATTTTTTCAGTAATTAAATCAAATTTTGATGAATAAAACAACATTTTTTTGAAGGGGGTCGCAGTACAAAAAAAATAAAAATGGGGGGTCGTGACCCAAAAAAGGTTGAAAACCACTGCCATATAGTATAGTACCATAGTCCATGACGGCATGACTAAAATACTAAATAGAGTATAGACCTATTTTGTCACTGCTTAAATCGTGCTTGCAACGCAAACGACCGACGCGATACCGGTGGTAGTTTAACCGTGCGCGTTTTTCATAATATTTTGTGTCGGCGGTGATCTTCTTATCTCTTGTTTTCATGATAACAACATTGCAGACGGTAAGTGCCCAATATTATATTATTATAATATAACTTTCAAGATTTCGACTTTCAAGTGACAGTTTAGATTTACTCAACGTAAGTATTATTGTATTAACTATAACAATCTTATTGTGGAACAAAACAATATATTTTTCCATAACAGTTACTAATTAACATAAAAGTAGCCACTATGTTTATAATTATTTGTAAGTAGGTATTAAAGAATACACTAAAGTCTATTATAGGTACAAGGGAATAGGGATCACCATTTAATATTTTTGTTATTTTAGGAATTCAATCTAAATTAAATGTACATGTTTATCCAAAGAAAGTAAAGGCAAAGTCAAAATGATAGAAAATCCCCCTTCGTTACTATCAAAAAAAAAAAATCATTTAAAAAATAAAATTTGTCTTCCATTTGGCGATCCCCGATTTATGATATATCATGGATTATTTTAATCCTTTTTAATGTAGTTAGTATATAAAGCTGAATAATCATAATTTATATTTATAATGTATTGAATGCTTGTAAAAAAAATTTTTATGTTTACATTTTTTTTTCAGAAATTATATCATAATAACATTCATGCATGGCTTTTGAATAATAAACATTTTGCAAGAACCAAGAATCAAACATGTATACAAAAGATTATGTTTTATCGGTATGTCAGTAAAAATATTATAATATTATTAAAATGTTAATTAATTTTGTTTTTTACATTTACTTGGAACTATATTATGTTTTAGACCACAACGTTCTACAATGAAGAAAATGGTTCTGAATTGGCGGTAATTTTATTTTTTTGTTGATTAATGTAATTTTATGTATAAAAATTGCTTTTGTTTTTACAGAATTTCTTTTCGTTGAGAGATAATTCATCAAAAGAGTGGAACCTCAAAAATACTGTTGACTATCTTCAAAAAATTTCTGAAGATAATGAACTTGATTTCGAGAGTGAAATAATATTGCACCTAAGGTAATTTTTATATTATAGGTTAGTATTGAGTGTAAGTTCTATAAAGAATTCTTCTATACTAATCTTGAAGTATCTTTACTTGGAAAATCAAAAAAGCCTTTAACATTAGCTTATTACTAGAGTCGCTACTTTGTGTTAGAGGCATCTATGCAAGAATGTTTTTGTGTCCAGTGGCCTATGGTCACTATGTAAGAGTATTCTAATGTTATGTACTAAAAGTATACGGTTAACACTAAAAATATTGAATGAAAAAAATATTATAAAAACATTTGAAAAAATTAATTTTAAAATTTTAAATAAAATAAAGATCAGTGGTGGCTGTTAAGATTGCCAGGACCAGACAGTTTATAATAATTTTATCAATAAATCTTTAGTGCAAAAGTCATAGCTTCATTTTTTTAAGGGTAGCTAGTTTTTGAATGTTTTTGAAAAATGTACTTAACACCCTTCAAAAAAATTTAGTTTTTCTCATTCAAACTATTTTTGTTAAATAACATTATATTTGGAAGGATGCATAATATCTTTTATCTTTGTTTAACACATAGTATTATCACAGATTATATTAAACTTAAATATATTAAATATATTAAATTAATTTAATTTAATTTAATTATATTAAACTTTATATAATCCGTGTTATTAGTTACATATTATAGCCGGAAAAACAGTTTATCTCATTTGTTTTTTGTAGCCAACTATTGTAATTAGGTAATCATTAAATTATTATTATCTATTATATGATTAAAAATTTTAATAATCAAGTTCTTTAAATACTTTTTTTAATATTTAACATTTTATATAATATAGGTATGTTTGCACCTTTATGATGATTATACTATCAAAAATGTCCATACCTAAGAAAAATAGATACCTATTAAATATTATGAAAAACTGGAAGTGTTTTATTACTTTATTTAAAATTATTACAGGGTCCTCAAATCAATAGGAGAAAAAAAATTTGATGATGCTTTCAGAGGACAGTTGGCAATTTTACAAAACATTGTTAAATATCTTCAATCTGATAGTGAAAACTGGATGGTGCCACTTGCGAACACAGTAATTATATATAATGGTTTTTAAAATATAAGTTTATTAATCATTATATTACATATTGTATGTTGTAGGTTTGCGTAGATCTTAGATATCTGTTAAATGCGTATGATAAATATGAGTCCACAAATAAAAAATTGAAATTAGAAAGGTACAATGATTTTCAAAAAAAATACATAGATATAATGATGATGTATTTCCGTATTTGTTCTAATGACATGTAAGTCATATTACTAGCATTAATTATTATAAAATTATTTTCATGTTTTTAAAAAATTTGTTTTTACAATTAGTCGAGCTCCAGCACGGCAATCCAAACGTTGGACAATAATGTTTATCGTAAATCAGATGTTGAAAGTGTATCATAAAATCAAGAAATTTCATTTGACTACAGGTTTGACAAAAACTATTTTCATGTGCCCAGACAAGAACACATTTCCAATTGCACATATTGTCACTTTTTATTATTATACTGGATGTAAAGAAATATTTGAAGGAAAATTTAATGATGGTTAGTTAAATCATGTATTATTTATTTATTAGTCTATAACTGCGCTTTGCATTACTGCATAAAATGCTCAGACCATTAACGCATACAAAAATGACACAAATTCATCAAATCTCATAGGGAATGTAAATTAAATTTACTGCAATACAAGTCAAATAGATTGGCACTAAGGGGGCGGTGCAAATAAAAAAGTCAGTGGTTCTCCGACCTATCCATCCAACATTGACTTTACTCATTAAACTAATAGAGATTAAACAAATAAATAATAGTGGAATAGTACGTGTTAAAAAAAAAATCATATATTATGTAGAATTAAATCAATTATTGCATTTTTACTTTTATAAGATAAGCATAATATAGACATGGAAAACATATTTTATACAATTGAACCATTTAATTACACTTTTTTTAAAAACTTTTAACTTTTTTTTTTACATAATTTTATATTTTCATGTCATAGTAAAACAACATTTTTGAAATTTGTTTACAATGTAAATGTAATTTATAATCATTTTTTTACGCACATATCTTAAACACTTGGGTTGCCCAGTTTTTACGGCAGCAGATAGTTGCCAGTTTGATGAAATAAATTTAGCTCAAACCAGTTCAAATATGATATTTTAGAAATTCATTTGTTCAAATTTAAACTGTTCTAATGCTGTTAAAAATATTTTGTGTATGTATAGGTTAATTTAATATCTAATAAAATATATTGCCAATTGTTTATGGTTGTTACAGCTAGAGAAAATTTAACAATTGCATTCGAAGGATGTCATAGAAGCTCTATCAAAAACAAGACATTGATTTTAAAGAAACTCATCCCATTAAATATGTTGCATGTAAATACAATTTTAACTGCATTTAAATATTATAATATTTTATAAATTAATTTCTATTTTTTTGTTCTAGGGAATAATGCCATCAAAAGATCTTCTCGATAAGTATAATTTGGATATATTCAAAGAACTGACTGAGTCCATTAAAATGGGCAATGTCCAAAAATTTAGAGAGTGCATTGATGTTAATGAAGTATATTACATGAAATGCGGAATTTATTTGTTACTACAAAAATTGATAAATCTTGCATACAGGAACTTGTTTAAGAAATTGTAAGCAATTTAATACTTAGACACTTATAGTTATTATAAACTTGTTGTAGTTATACATTTTTTCTAATAACTATTGAGGACAAAATTACTTTTTTTGAAGCAATAAATGATTTAAAACTACACAAGTGCTAAACAAATTGCATTATAATTAATTAACACTGTTCTTATTTTTTTTTACAGTTTCTTAATTGCTAACAATCATATTATACCAGTTGATACTATAGCAGCTATATTGAAAAAGTTTGACGACCCTGATACAGATTATGACAAAGCGCAGTCTCTATTAGTTAACATGATTTATAGAGGGACGCTACGCGGATATTTATCACATGCTCACAAGAAAGTTGTATTGAGTAAAAAAGATCCATTCCCCACTGGTAAACAAGTTTTTGACAAAGCTACAAAGTCTATCAATGAAATTGGACATAATTAGTTTAATTTAATGTATGAAACATGTATGTATTATTTCTATAATAAATTTGATTTTTTTTACATATTATGATTTTTATCAATCTTTTTTAATTTTTATAAAATAACTAGCTTTATTACCCGACTTCGCCCGATTTAAAATTAATTTATCTATTTATTGTTTTCACTTTTGCTTCAGTTAAAATATAAAATACTAACAATTACAATGATGAATTTTATGATTTTCCACTTCTTAATTTTGGATATATTTTTGATGTAAACACATACAACTAGAGACAGTATGAAGACTAATGTTTAAAAGCTGATGTAAGTCCAGAATCGTTAAAATTAGTATTTGCTTAATGTTTACTTCAAAAATTTTTCAGAATTAGGATAGCAAATCATAAAAGTAATCTTTGTAATTTTGGTCATAAAATTTATTTAAGTATTTTGAAAGGTCAATGTTTAAGTAATTTTTTTATATGCTGTATTTTTACTAATCATAATATAAAAACATCTGTAACTTAGTGGTGAATTTAGGTATGTGATGGCCGCTCAGTGCCCATGGGCCGAATATATTGTAAATTAATAAACAAGACAATACAGTTTTGATTATTAAATAATTCTTTAATTTTGATATTTGTAGAAAATGGTAACACTATCTGCTAGATTTCACTAAAACTTTATGTACTTTTAACTTTGTAAGGTACTAAGATACTAAAGCTTAAACATTAACTTGCTACTGTACTACATTCAAACAATATAATTGGTTGTTATTACCAATAAATGTTTTTAACGTATAATTTGTAGTTAAACGTCATATATTACCATGACTTTTAATGTAGAATTCTCAACCCACGTGTGTGTATTTATAGAACTGCATTCGATAATATTGTTGACCAAGCAATTGTGGATGGATAAAAACCTTGAGATTCTACAATTGGACCACAGCTCATTTATTTGAACACATTACATACGTTAATACATAAAATACTTATTATTTTGTTTACAAATATTTAATTTTAAATAGAATAATCATGTTCCATATAATATATACTTTTAAATATTTGAAAATTTAAATTAAATACATTTTGCTGTATTTATTGTTAAATAATTAGGAAACTGTGGCGGGCTCCTGGGCCCCCTAATTCCAGACATGCTGTCAGTGGCAGTATAAATAGCAGCTGCCGCCTCATTCAAAATTGGTGGTGGGTATCCCAATGACACCAGTCTCCAAGACCTGGACGGCTAGACTAGCTTATAATTTATACTCGCATAGCCACATACGATCTGCATTTGAAATGTGTAAAAAGATAAGTGTAAATTGGGAAAAAATGTGTGCGTGGGTACTCATTTAAGGTAATTGCTTCATAGAAAAAAATGTTCAAGCCACTACTGCCTGCTGTAACCAATGGCAACTATTTAATTAACAAAAAAATTTTAATGATTTTCATTAGCCACTTAGGGTTGAAAAAATAAGCTATAAGTCTCAAGAAATCTATTTATATAAATGTTATTGAAAACGGTCCAGTTAAAGACCAAGATAACAAACAAAGAAATATTAATTTATATGTATTTAGTTAAAGCATGCCCACAGGATAAAATCCCACCCAGGGCAAGATTAAAATTACTTATAAATTATAATCTAATATTATTTATAGTGATATTGATATAAAAGTGGTACATGAAGTTAAAAATTCCCCTTTGGCCCCCCCTTGTATACATAGATAAATATTACACAATTCTGTTATCTAAACAAATAATAAATAGTTTTTACCTTTTTGTTTTCAATTGTTTCTTTATATTTTAGTATGTCAAATGTACTATGAACAGTAAATATATTTATTATAACATAAATACAAAATGGTTAATATGGTAGGTATTAAATAAATACTGTAACTGATATAATGTTTTAATTAACAAGTATTTATTTATGAACACGTGGAATGATGAAGTACATATTTTGGTATTAAATATTAAAATAAAATGAACAATGTGTCTTCGTTTATTGTTTACTAGCTTAAAAGTAACATGATACTTAAAATATTACTCAGACAGTATGCACTACAAAAATTGAATTTATTAACCTATCCTTTATAATAAGTAGTCTACAAGTTAAAGGATTTTCAAGGATCTTAATTTAGTATGAATTATTTTCCATACACTATCATCAGTAGGCCAAATTTGATCACAATTACTACAATATGGATGGAAATAGGACTATGTGTAAACATAATTTATTATATAAAACAATTATTTTTATATATATATATAAATGTATTATATTATAATCTGTTAGATAAAATGTGTTTGGAATTGGTATTTTACAAATAAATTGAATAATAGACCGAGTGAAATAATAATTAATTAACTTATAGTAATAACACTAATACTACTTGGTAGATTTAAAAACCATCCAATGTATTACATTTTATTGGAGAATTCAAAATCAAAATAAAACTATTCAAAAATAAATGTACACATGAATAACATAGAATGTTAGATTACTTATCACCCATCTTCACTTTGGAAGTTATGTATATGCCAACAATTAAACCGAAAAGACCAATGGCACTGCCAAAAATTTCAACAATCAAAATCTTGACGAAAAGCGATGAGTTGGCTGCATCTGCTAACGCCGCACCCGAACCCACTACTCCAACAGCAATACCGCAAAACAGGTTTACCAGACCTACGCTAATACCAGCAGCAAATATTAAATAGCCGGCCATCCAATTTTGATCCCTGATTTGTTGTGCGGTATCCACGTTGTCTGTGAACGATTCCAACTGGCCGGACATGACGATTGCAGTGATTAGTCCGTAGATAGCCACCGCTTCACAGAAGATGACTGATATAAGATTCTTGGTCTTGATGCGAGGCGCTTTCACGCCACCACCGACAATGCTCACACCGGTCGTGTGTATTCCCAAAGCGGCTCCAACCACCGACAGAGCAACCGCCAATGATATACCCAACACGGCCCACATATAGGGCGATGTGTTGGCCAAGAACCAGCCAATACTGATTTGCTCACCTTTACCGGCCAACAGGTAGAACAGTATGATGGCCGACATCAATGTGGATCCCGTTCCGAAGATCGAGTAGCCCAATATCGCCCTCAGTCTCATTATGGATGATTTATTATTTTATCGTCGACAAAAATGATGCACACGTCAAACGCGAGTAAAACACATTTAAGTACAAATTACAAAATAATAAAATAAACGCTACAGAACGCTCAAAAGGACTCCGCCCAAAGACCCAAGTACGGCTTAGATAGTTAGGCGGTGTAATCAATTCTAGAATCTAAACATATGTTTTATTTTATCAACAATCAGTATACCGCTGTATGCAGGCCATGACCATGATAATATTTGACGTTTGTTGCTTCCATGAAAACGGGGACTGTATTAGCATAGAACAATATAGAAGCGACACTCGATCAGCTGATGGGTGAAGTGTTTACCTATGATCTGAAGTCCGAACATTCAAACTGTTTCCGTTTACCAACATGATGTTATACCCGTATTGAAAAACCGTTTCCGCTTAATAGGCAGGGTATTCTGCGCGGGGTCGGGTTGTTTCCAGCATAGAAAAATTGTTTCCACTGTTTACTGTAACGTATGCCACGCCCCTCTAGAGACCATTTTCAAGGCCACAATCACCCGATCCGACCAATTCACGGAGTGTCGTACCCCTGGTGATAGCAATGTTCTATACAGTCACAGACTTCTATACTACACTAGATAAGGAACTCTTATACAATTTACATTGTTACAAGTGAAGCTCAGCTGTGAACGGCCGCCATTTTGTCGGTTGGCAAAACATTTCATTTATTATACAAAATGTATTAGGAATAATATTTTTTTTAACGGTCAAATAAAATAGTAAATGTAAAATGACTTATATAAAATATTTTTTTTTTTTGTAAACTAAATGTTTAAAAATAATAAAATACGATATAAAATAAATCATAATATCATCTTATTTGTCGTATGAAATACCATACAATTGCCAACCGACCTTGAAGCTTCAATTCATGACCGGAGTTCGCTATCTAGTAATATATAGAAATCTGTGTATACAGTATACAAGAACTAAGATATATAAGGTATATCTTAGTTCATGGTTCTATATAATGTTTGATAGGATGTGGTTTTGAATGTTTTGATAAAAATATTAAATAATATCACATTAATTATTTCCCGCTCACACAGTTACATATATACCATAGAGTAATATAGAGAGGCCGTTTCCACTGAATAGTGATGCGGAAACTGTGGATAATAATCAGTGTCACCACCAATAAAATACAAAAAATTGTACTCGTCATTTTGTATCATAATTCAAGCCATACCATAATGTTACTATGTACAATGTACAATGTTACAATAAATGATGAAACAAAATATGTCAGGAATAATTTAAAATCCTATCTGCTCTTTCTCAGTGGCGGTTTTTAGGGGGGGGGGGGGCGAAGGGAGCTCTCACCCCCGCCCCCGCCCCCCTTAGATTTTTTTTTGTATGTCCTTTTTTCAAATGAAATTACACTAAATGCTTGAATATTATGCTTGGTATATTATACTATTATAAAATACATAGTATGGAAATATATAAATATTAAATAAAAATGTCTACACAAGATATTTAATTTTAAATTTAAATTAAAATACTATCATTACCGAAACATTTTTATTTTACATATTACATTTGTTAATTTTAATATAACTACTAACTTTTGACAAAGTAGATGTTTCATCCAAAGGAAACACACCTAATTCCACATCACTTATTGAAGATACCTAGAAAAGCAATAACATAATAAGTACCTACAGTAATATTATTATTAGAATAGTAAACAATGTACGTAAATTAATACTAAAATAATTATTTACCTTAACAAGAGTTTTATCAAAATGTAAAATATCATTTTTTTTATTTATTGTTTCAGGTACTGTTACTGGTACAGTTTTAGTAGTTTCAGTAAAAGATTGTTTTGCCTAAGAAAAATATTATTATTATTAGATTAGTTATATGTATAAAAAAATATTAATGCAATAATTATTGTAAACTTGCATATTTTATTCGACCGACAACAATTGATGGAAATACATGTTTGTATAATAACTTTCTATGTTGTTTCATTACAAAACATGATTTCTCAAAATGTAATGAACAAATTACACTATATTTGGTCACGTCTTTTGGATTTAGATAGTTTTCTACTAAAAAATTATCCCACTTTTCTCTAATATTATCTTTAGTAGGAAACCTAAAAAACAAACATTACACTATATTTTCAAACGTCTAGATATATATTTTTTAAATCTTAAGTCTTAACCATACCTGTGAAAAGATATATTAGCAGATTTAGAATTTAGATTCTCTGTTCTTCCACATACAAGACAACTAGGCATTATGAGGATTACTACTTTAAAACACGTCTAGTCAAACATAAAAAATAATGAAATCGTAAAATCGTAAAATGTAAACCGAATAGTTTAATCGTGGTAAAACCAGAGTCATAACTCATAGATCGTAATTCGTAATCGTTAACGGATGCAATGTCGCAATCATTATAGAGTATTACTATATGATAACATTGCTGATAACATTTAACAAGCGGTACGTTTTACAATATTTTGTACAATATTTTTTTTATCAATAACGAAGGCCCTGTTAAATATCCACATTTTGTGCATCAATTAGTTAACATGGGCGATATACCCAACGGCCTCTCTATATTACTCTATGATATATACAACAACTATATAGATAACCGTACTACAGTGGTGACCAATATTGAAGCTTAGATCATATACTATGGATGGAGCCACTGCATATTATTTTGAAGCCGATATTAGCGACGAGTCACCGACTTCTATGACAAGAAGGAGACAGCTATCTAGTTGTTGTACATATCTAGTTGTTGTATATATCTATATATCTATTAAGAGGACGTCGCACCCGCATAATTTGTTGTCTCCATCTTGCACACGTATGGTATGGCGTAGCAAAAACGTTTTGGCGGGGGAAAGAATCGAGATGGCTACTAAGGTCATAATTAGGAAACGAAGTTTTAACCGCATAAAAAGGAGAACTTTGGCTGTGCAATATCGTTTTTATTTTTTCGTTATCGTAGGTAACTTCAAAAAAAAGTTATTAAAGTTTGAAAAACACAAACAATAATTTATTTTGAAACAATAAGAACTTTTTTCGTATAAGGGATATCAAAAAAATAAAAACGATATTGCACCGCAAAATTTCTCCTTTATATGTGGTGAAAATTTCGTATCTTAGTTATGACTGTAGCAGCCTTTTCGGTTCCATAATTTTGTTCATAGATGTTTTTACTCTAAAACCACTCAGTAACCCATGTTGTTGAAACATATTTTTATAAATTAATTTTTCAAGTGATTTTTTTCGATGACACTTCCTCTTAAGGTACATTGCTTAGCAATGAGTGTATGAAAAGCATTAAAACATATTATGACGGTAGCGCGGCCAGTGCAGGGTAGTAAGGTAATACCTATATTTCAATATATGAATCCCGGAAAAAAAGACCAAGGAACAATTTTTAAATTATTAATATATTAAATAGGTAGGTAGTTAATAAACTTCTTCTTTTCAATTTGTATAATATAAGTGTTCATACTAAAATGTCACTACTTAAATTTGAATTCAATGATAATATAATATTATTGTAGACGAAAAACTATTCGGAGCGGAGACGGTTTGTTTAATATTTAATATTATATTTATATTTTACATTCTGAGTGGAACGATCATTGATTTTACAATGATGTGTGTTTATTTTTTTTATTTTTATTTTTTGCGTCTGTCATCACGGTTTGGGGCATTAAAACTTCTTCGATTTTCTTCAAAATTCCCAAAAATTTACAAAAGCGCCGGGAAAAACAAAATAAAAATTAAGGAAAAACGTCAATTTTTACTCAAAATCGGTTTTCCACAAAATCAATTTTGGTTTTTGGTGTAACTCTAAAACAAATTAACACGAAATTTTCACTGGTTGCTTATAATTGCATTTTCTATACCTACATGATAAAATTTTCAAAATATTTTGATTTGTTTTGAACTGTTTAGGGACATTTTCATTTTCCAATTTTATTAGTTTATTTTTCTATAAATGTCAATAAAACTTTATTTGTTGAGTAAAAACGCTTGAAAATGTAATACAAAGCTCATATTATATTGTTACAATAACATTTGAAAAATATTAAAAAATCCTTAGTCACAATTTTTTACTTTCTTGATTTTTAATTAAGTAAGTATGGTAATTGAAATAAAAAAAAGTCTGAATTTTTAAAACTTCAAGACTGTGTTAAATAGGAAAAAAATAAAAATGTAACTCAGTAATGATGAGTAGGTGGGTAATTTAAATAGCTTTAGTATAAAATATTAATAAGAGAGATTTCATATTACACCCAATAAGCGGTATAACCACTTGAATCAATAAAAACGTCGGCGTGAACAGTCCAAACATTTCTATTTTTTAACTTTTCTCCTAAACTATGATAGCTAGAAAGTTGGTTGATAACTCATTAAAAAGGGATTATCAAGTAGATATTAAATGTGGAATTAATATTTTTTCAAAAAAATTATTTAATTTTTCACAGATAAAAAAAGAGTTATTTTTCGATAGATTTTCATTTAGAAAGGTAGATTTCCGAAACTGGAGAACGGATTTTTTTGTTTGAAGTCTTGTTAGATTCACATTAGTTAGGAGAAGTGCAGTGAAGATTTTTAGAACTTTATCCTTAATCGTTAATTCACTACAAAGCTGTAAAGCTGAAAAACATCAAAAAACACCCAATAAAATTTGTTTTAATATTTTTTAATGTTCTGTAGTGTAATTCACTATTAAAGATAAAGTTCTAAAATCTTTACTGCAGTTCTCCTAACCAATGTGAATCTAACAAGACCTGGGAAAACGAAATCCGCCCTCCGGTTTCGGAGATCTGTAGTCTCACAAAATGAAAATGATTTTTTGTGGAGCTGTTCACACCGACATTCTTCAGGACTCAAATTGTTATGCCGCTTGGGTGTGATATCAGTTAATAAATGTCTAAAAATAAAAAATCAAGAAAGATTACAAGCCGATCCCTGACTTGGCAAGCGTTTTTTATAAGCATTTAAAGATCAAATCTTGACGAAATACGTAAAGTTCACGAAAATGTGCAAATTATTTTAAGTTGAGTATTCATAAACATTTTTCTTTTTAAATCTTAGATTTAAAAATTTAATACAAGGTATTCATAAGTTTGTTTATTTTCTCATATAGCGGTTTTAGATTCTGAGCGGAGCGATGAATGTATTGGTTTTACAATGATGTGTGTTTTTATATTTTTATATTTTTATATTTTTTTTTGTGTCTGTCATCACGTTTTGGGACAGTAAAAGTGCTTCGATTTTCTTCAATAGTACCTTTTCTGATAGGAAAGTGAATCTAGTTGGTACTTTGGGGGGTCAAAAGTAAACATTTTCCAGTAGTTTTCACAAGCGCCGGGAAAAACAACATAAAAATTAAGGAAAAACGGGAATTTTTACGCAAAATCGATTTTCCAAAAAATCGAATTTGGTTTTTGGTGTAACTTTAAAACAAATGACCGTAGATACATGAAATTTTCACTGGTTATTTATATTTGCATTTTCTATACACGATAACATTTTCAAAATATTTTGATTTATTTTGAACTGTTTAGGGACATTTTCCATTTTTTTTTAGTTTTTTTTCTAGAAATATCAATAAAATTTTATTTGTTGGTTGCGAAAGCTTGAAAATTTAATAGAAGGCTCCTAATATGTTGTTTCAAAGGCAGATGAAAAATATTAAAAATCCTAAGTCACAATTTTTTTTTATAAGCATTTAAAGTTCAAAAATTTACAAAATATGGAAAAATCACGAAAATTAGCAAATTATTTTGAGTTAAGAATTCGTAAAAATTTTTCTTTTTAAATCTAAGATTTTAAAATGAAACTCAAGATTCCTTATAAGATTATCTACCTTTATCAATAAAAAAAATTTCTACCGGACAGTCAAGTTAAATTTTTATGAGCGTTTGAAATTCAAATTTTTACAACATTGGATATTCACTCGATTACTCATGTAGCGATTTCCTTATTTTGTTGCAATTCAAAAACGAACAACTGTAGATACATGAAAATTTCACTGAATGTTTAAATTAGCATTTTCTATACACCATACAATTTATTTACAAAATATTTTGACTCTTTTTGAGCTGTTTATGGACATTTACAGCTTTCAATTATTTTTAGTTTTTTTTTCTATAAATATCAATAAAGTTTTATCTGTTGGGCCAAAAAGTGTAAAAATTTAATACAAGGCTCCTGATATATTGTTACAATAGCAGTTGAAAAATATTAAAAATACATAGGCACAGTTTTTTTTTATAAGCATTTAAAAATCGAATTTTGACAAAATTTATCAAAATCTCGAAAATTATCAATCATTGTAATTAATAAATTATAAAATGTTCAGTTTTTATAGCTAAGGATTGCAAATTCAACACAAAGATTCTCTTACGTAGTTCATACTGTAACCAAAAAATCTAAAAAATATATGAACACAGTTATTTTTTACAGACATTTTAAATTCAAATTTGGACGAAATTACATATTTAAACCAAGAATTACGATTTTAGTTATTTTGTTGTGATTGTATAATATTATTCGTGGGTACTTGAAACTTCTAAAGTGTACTATTATATATCTATGATAGTATCACGGTTTTTGTTGATGTATAACGTGTTATAAGTATCTAATGGATATTGTGATATGATTAATTTGGAATTTATTATAGGTACCTATTATAGGTCAATTTTTTGTTTAATACCATAGATATGTATATAATATGTCTTATACATAGACTGACTACCGTCACCGCTCAGAATCGTTTTTCTTATACAATGATATTATATCATTGAATTCAAATTTAATACCATCCATTATACAGTGACCCACTTGTAACCTGCTGTACAGCAGAGCGACACCCACTTGCCCACCTTTTGTTATTTTGTTGTTATTCAAAAACGAATAACTGTAGCCACATGACAATTTTATTGAATGTTTAAAATTTAATAATTATTTTGTAGTTAAAAGTTAAAACTGTATAAAATGTTCAACTTTTATAGCTAAGGATTGAAAATGTAAAACAATGTTCCACGTAAATAGGCTATACATATATTACCATTTTACAATAATATCATCAGTTAATATACTTAGTAATATAATAGGCTGATGACTGACCGTTTTCGCTCAGAATCGTTTTTCTTATACTAGCTGTCTTGCCCGACGTTGTCCAGGCCAAAGATTTGTATTTTATATTCTGAGCGGAGCGATGAATGTATTGATTTAACAATAATGATGTGTGTTTTTT